CGAAGTCCACTATCTCGGACATGTCGTGAACGCAGATGGTATCCATATGGATCCCAAGAAGGTTGAGATCATTCGAAATTGGCCCTTGCCAAAGGACATCTCTGAACTTCGATCTTTCGTTGGCCTTGCGAACTATTTCCGTTGATTTATCGCAGGTTTTAGCTCCCTTGCTGCACCTCTGACAGATCTCTTCAGTGCGAAAAGATTACCAGATGAATGGCCTGAACAAGCCATACGAGCCTTTGAAACACTCAAAGCTCGACTATCGAGCGACGTTTTGTTGAATTACCCCGATTTTACGAAGCCTTTCGAAGTGATTTCAGATGCTTCGCTGAACGGAACTCGCGCAGTACTCCTGCAAAACAACCGACCGGTTGCTTTTACAAGTAAGAAATTTTCCCCTGCTGAACGGAACTACAGCACGGGTGAACAGGAGCTACTTGGGGTAATCAACGCCTTGAGAGAATGGCGATGCTACTTACAAAGTTCCATACCTTTTAATCTCGTCACAGACCACCATCCGCTGATCTTTCTTAAGACTAAGTCGAACTTAAGCCGCAGACAAGCCCGTTGGCTTGAGTTCCTGGCTCAATTTGATTTTGAGTGGATTTACCGACCAGGACGATTGAACGTGGTCGCCGACGCTTTGTCACGCCATCCCTCCTTGGCATCTCTAGTGGTATTCAATGCGGTTACCACACGTCGCCCTCACGGACGTACGCTGGACCCACTCATCCAACGTATTGCCGATGCTACAAAGAGAGACGCTTATTTCCAGAACCCAGATCATACTCGTTTCTTTCTGACGAATCCTCTCGGATTCTTTCAGATAGAAAGGGGGGAGTACCGCATCGTGGTGCCCAACGACCCCGCCTTGAAACGAGAGATTGTTGAACGAAGCCACACGGACATCTTGTCAGGACACCCTGGACGAGATCGAACCATTGATTTGGTTAAACGAAATTTCTGGTGGCCTACGTTGAAAGCTGACGTTGCAGACTTTGTCGCATGTTGCGAATCTCTGCCAACGGAATAAAGCTTCATCAGGCAAACCGCTAGGTCTATCTCGACCTCTGCCGATTCCTGAAAGACCCTGGAGCACCGTCTCAGTGGACTTTGTACTCGGATTGCCCTCGACTAGAAAAGGTTGCAACTCCCTTGTGGTATTTGTAGACCGACTGACTAAGATGGTGCATGTACGACCATGCAAGAAAGAAATAGATGCAGAAGAAACTGCAGATTTATTCTTTGACACCGTGGTACGGCTTCACGGTTTACCAGATACCATCGTCTCAGATCGTGACACCAAGTTTACTGGTGCTTTCTGGACCTCTCTCATGAAGAGGCTAGAGGTGAAGCAGGCGATGAGTACTGCTTTCCATCCTCAGACTGATGGTCAGACATAACGAGTTAACCGCGTCCTTGGAGACATGTTGAGAAACTACTGTGATCCGGAACCTTCACAGTGGGAGATATATCTCGGACCGGCCGAATTTGCGATTAATAACTCGAAGAATCGTTCGACAGGAGTTAGTCCATTCTTCCTGAATTATGGCTATCATCCTAAGACCCCTGTACAACTCGAACTCGGTGACACAGTTCCCTTTGCCAAAGGTTACGTTGATACGTATGCCAAGAGACTTGCTGCTGCTAAATCTGCTTTGATGGCTGCGCAAGATCGAATGACTAAGCAAGAGAATAAAGGACGACGTGATGTGTCGTTTACTGAAGGACAACAAGTCTTACTCAGTACGAAGAACTTAACCCTCCAGAAAGGTTCGAAGAAACTGATGCCTAAATGGATTGGACCTTTCACGATTGAGAAGATGATCAATCCTGCTGCCGCTAGATTGACTCTTCCAGAGGACTATCGTTTCCATAACGTATTCCATGTATCATTGATACGGCCTTATCGATCTGATGGCACCGTACAACCACCTCGACCTACAGTCAGAATTGAACCTGAAGGTTCTACCTCTGTATGGACACCTGAACGCATTCTAGATCATGATCAACGGAAACTCCGAAACCGAACCTTGACACGATATCTCGTGAAATGGATTGGTCATGGACATGAGAATAACAGTTGGATTGAAGAACCTGCTTTCCCCGACAGATCTCTTATTGATGCCTATTGGACTGCGCGCCGTGTGGACGCAGGCGTCTAGAAAGGGGGGCAGGTGTTGTAGTGCGTTAGAGCGTTACAGAACTTAATCGCTGCGTGATTAAGGCATGGCTTGATAAGACTGAGCTACGAACAGTCTACGAATATCTTAGAGTTCAGACGTGCTTCCTTTCCAAGGAGTGACACGCACTTGAGATACCTACAGACTCATCGGTTCGAGCAACCAATGTAGATCTGAAGAGACGTCGTACAATAGAAGTTGTTACGGCCTCCTAAGCAACGAGTATTTATACTCGGGAGGAAGCCTGGGATGAGACATCAATCAAACCAACAATACACCGGTGAGGGAGATACCAGAAGCCTGACGCTCCTTACTCAGAACAGAACCCAGTCCTTGACGGAGCGAATCCGTCCTGTAACCTGTCGGCCCTCACCGCTATTACGCGCTAACAGACTCTCGCTTCACAAGCAATTTCTGGAAGGAAACATTTCGCCTGTTGGGCACCCACCTCTATATGAGCACAGCCTTTCACCCGCAAACAGACGGGCAAACGGAACGCATGAATCGCGTTCTGGAAGAGACACTCAGGCACTACATATCACCCACTCAAGATGATTGGGATGAGCATTTGCCACTGATTGAGTTTCCATAAATAACTCGAAACAGAAGGCAACGGGGACAACTCCGTTTTCCCTGAATGGTGTTCGACAACCACGTGTTCCGGTTGACCTTCACCTAAAAACCAAGGTGCCTGCCGCTCAGAAGCAAGAAGCAATGCTTCGCGAGCGTATAAGCAAAGCTAAAAAGTGTCTCTTGGCTGCGCAGCAAGTCCAAAAATACGACGCCGACATGCATAGGCGTCCAGTGTTACGAGGTTGGGCAGAAAGTGCTGTTAAGTACCAAAAATATTACATTAAAAACCCCTGGAACCAAGAAGCTGATGCCCAAGTTCATCGGCCCATACACGGTTGTCGCTCGCGTGGGCGAAGCTGCGGTAAAACTGGACTTACCGGCGGCCTCCCGCCTACACCCGGTCTTCCACGGTCTTCCCGGAATCCCTTCGCCAGTCTACCCCCTTGGCTGAATCCATCGACGAATATGAACGCAAACTTGCGTCTAAGAAGCACCCTCAAGCCCCGGAAAAACCTAAGGGACGGAAATCTTCTAAGAAGAAGTGACGCTCCCGGGACGGTTCGCTTCAGAGGGGGGAGACTGTAGCAAGCTACATTTCCCTTAGAATATTTTAACGATTTCTTTTAACAATAACTGTTAATTCGTTAACGATTCGACTCAAGTTTCGTACATGTTACGAGCTTCGTCGTATGTATCGAACATGGCGGTTGTCCGTAAGCGAACCTAACGGGCTGGGGCCCCGGGCCCCACGAACATTATCCTAGTACGGCAAGACCGTAGTAGGGAACCTCCGGCAGGTAGGCCGAGATATAAGCTACCCGGGCGGCCGCCCGCGGGGTGCTCTGGCCAGACACTGATGTATCACATTACTAGGTGTTCTGAGTTCAAGACTCCGCTGCCGCCGTCTCTAATTGTTTCGTACGCGTCTGTGTATGCTAGTGCTTGCCGCTGGGTTGGACTTCTTCCTGCCTCGGTAAGGACCGTCAACTCTACGCTTCCGCAAAGCCAGTCGTCCCGTCAGGTGAGCGACTGCTACACAGGGCGATGGAGGTAACCAGGTCTGGCATACTGAGGGCTTCCAGGCGGAAACGGAACGGCTGCCAGCTGCAGGCCCCGCCCCAGCTGCAGGCCCCGCCCCAGCTGCAGGCCCCGCCCCAGCTGCAGGCCCTGCCCCAGCTGCAGGCCCCGCCCCAGCTGCAGGCCCCGCCCCAGCTGCAGGCCCCGCCCCAGCTGCAGGCCCCGCCCCAGCTGCAGGCCCCGCCCCAGCTGCAGGCCCCGCCCCAGCTGCGGGCCCCGCCCCAGCTGCAGGCCCCGCCCCAGCTGCAGGCCCCGCCCCAGCTGCAGGCCCCGCCCCAGCTGCAGGCCCCGCCCCGGAGGCAGGCAACACCCCAGCTGCAGGCCCCACCCCAGCTGCAGGCCCCGCCACCGCCACCACCCTGGCTGCTGCAGCCGCCACCACTTAGCCCGCAGCTGGGCCCCTCAGTGGCGGCAGCAGCTCAAATAGTCCCATGGATACCAGCTCAACAAGGGTTAGGGACACAGGCCGGCCCCACGGTGGTGAAAGAGGGAACCACAACCCACAGGGAGTGTGACACCACACTGGCAGCGCCACAGGAGCAAGAGCCACCAGCAGCCATAGTCAATACAGCCCCCACCTTCCTGTTCATTGCAGGTAGGGTGGAGCCAGGTGGCAGGCAACGGGCAACCGGGGGCAAAGCTAGGCAGCAGAAGTGCCCTCAGACGAACCAGGATCCTACATCCTCAAAGCGGAAGCGGCAGCGGCTGGAGCACCTAACTGCAGAGGAGCATGCCGAGTGGAACAAGGCCCAGACCTGCAAGGCCCTGGAGGCCCGAAAGAGAAATGTGGAGGTACGGAGGGCACAGAGGGCAGCAGAGGAGGCTGGAGAGAAGCTAACAACGCAGCTGCAAACTGGCAGCCAGGCCCAGCCCTCCGACGGCAACACAGGTCCCAAGCCTGCAACTGCAGCTGGCAGCCGGAGACCCGTCCCCCAGTGACCCCTGCAGCCAGCGAGCAGCCGCCGTGCAATGCCAGCAACACCTGAGCACCCACAGCCCAGCATCAACACAGGGGGATGATGAGGAGGATGAATACATCCCTACCGCCATGGAGGCGGAACACTCCGACTAAATGCCAAGTAGGGGGACCAGGAGAAGTCAGCAGCAAAATGCTGTGCAAGGCCATCCACTCCAGATCGCCACCTTTTTGCACGGGACTTGCACCAAGCCACAATGCGGGTGCATACCCAAGGTTGGCGGGTGGCGACACACTCGTGGTCTGGCTCGACACACACAGCTGGGGTACTGATCCTCCTCCGGCAGGGCCTTGCAGCAGCCCTGGAGCCTCCACCGAACACAACCCATCAAGCATGTATGCAGGGCCGGTTCACAGAGTGTGTGCTCCGTTGGGGAGCCCACCGCCTGCACATCTGCAATGTCTACCTCCCCACGGGCTCCTCAACAGTGGCAGCAGATGCACGACACTTTTTGTTCAGCAATGTCCTGGCTGCCACTTCAACGAAAGCTGCCGCTCCAGACAGCGATACAACTCTCATTTGGGCGGGCGACTTCAACTTTGTAGAGAACCCGGAACTGGATTCCTCAGCGGGCCCAGAGGGCCGAGGGGGAGACGGACCGATAGCCGACATGAGGAGACAGGCGGGCCCCACCATGGTCGACACCCACCACCACCTCCACCCCAAGCGCCGAGACTTCACCCACCTATACTGTGCACCCACCCCGGGGGGGTCCCGTCTCGACCGCATATACATAGGGTTGCAGGCGCATTAGAAATTACAAATAATATTACAATTAAACTAATTAGAATTCTAATGAGAACGTTAGAAGACCCCTTGAGAACAGATTAGAACGTTCTAATGTCGTACACCCATTAGAATGGCTATTCAGACCGCCTCCGCAGCCTGCAACGGCACATTTTTCTAGGAAATAGGGGGGTCCTTGTGAAGCAGCTGCCCGCGTTTCCAAAGCACGTATGGTGTTGGATTGTAAGGTGCCCAAGTACGTTTGCGAGGAAGAGAATGTGGCCAGGCTGGAGAGGAAAGTGCAGTGGCATATTGGAATGTGAGATTAGCGTAAGCGAGTTACAGGGCGTTTGGTGCACGGGCGAATTTACGTGCATACCTTTCACCGTAGCATCAGTCCTCAGTTCACTTCTTGGAACGAACATCAGCATAGGTCCAAGCCCTCTCGCTTGGAGGGATATGCAAACAAACATCCTGATAGGGGTAAACTCGCACACTACCGAGCATTCAACCGAGCACACGCATGCTTAGTTGAATGGTGAGATGCGACCCCCCCTTCATTTCGTGCTCGGCAAGCCTGCCACCGCGTACCGGATATGTTGGCGATGTTACAGAGACGCTGCACCTTGGTTTCTGTGCGCAATGCGTACGATGCTCGACCCCGCCGACCAAAACTACACGTGCCCAACTGAAGACATTTCCGGTGGTTGTGCAGCAGCTCTTGAGGCTGTTGCTGGCTGAAATCCATCCTGAGCTGTTGCAACACGGCTAACGCGGGCACGTCCCTATGCACAGCAAATAGCTGTTCCAAGCCAACAGCGGCGTCCATGTCACCGACAAGGCTCTAAACGTCTTATCTGTTCTTATGTTTAATTAAGTTTATGTATTTTATACTTTGCGCAACTTTGTAATTTGACTTTACTCTGAACAAGGTTCTGTATGCGCTGCGCTGCAGAAAGCAGGCGCCTTTTGGCTTGCACACAACTGCCTCTTCGCCAGACGCTTCCTCTTCCCGCGGCAGTTTCACGAGCCCAGTGTTGCAAGCTACGACGTAGGCTTTCGGTGCTTTCAGTTACTGCAAAGCAGCCACGCAATAGACTAGGCTGCATGCCGCGTGCGACTATGGCCATCGTGCCCACCTGCGCAACGCGTCGTCCTTTTCCGCCAAGAAAATTTATATACACTTGTACAGGCGCATTTTGAGAATCGCACGCGCGCATCCGCGCGGTAAAATTCGCGCCTGGCCTTCGCGTCTTGTACGGATGTTTTATTCGGCACAGTACGACCGGACACATTTGTGCGAGGGGCTGCTTAAAAATGCCTGATGCTGATGCTGGGCCATCAAAACCACCAGTTTCGAATACTCCTAAAGCAACATACACTTATGGCAACAAGGAGCTAGACGCTCCAGCCTACGCGGAAGCCCTGAAGAGTGCAAAAGCAAGAGGCAGTGCTTCCTGGTGGTCGTTTTTCACCGTGATCTTGACAGAAAGAGTCGTGAAGCTGAAGTGCACCATTTGCGGCGAGGAGCTGGGTGCCAAAAATCCGTCTGCAACAGCTCCCAACCATCTTAAGAAGCACTCGCAACCGGCTGGGCAAGGAGCGTGCAGAGAAGCTGATTTACATCCGACAGAACCGGAAGGCCTTGCAGATGGAGCAGGGTGGGAAGGATGAGGAGGTGCTGATGCAGCTGCTGGAGGGGCTGGACGTGCAGGGGGAGTGAAGGAAGGGGCCGTGGAAGCCTTGGGGCAATTTGCATGAGTTGATGAGGATTTTGCTAGAAGTTTTGGGGCGACAGGTTTGGCATGTCCGGACTGTGTGTTGGGTGTTGCTTTGCAGACAATTAGGACTGGACTCTTGGTTCAGGTACCAAAGATGTTGGGAAGGCGTACACAGAGACAGTTTAAGACAGTCTAAGACAGATTAAAGGCGAAATTAGTGACCCAGAGGTCACTTCGACCGGGGGTTTGGCTGAGAAGTCCTGCTTACGGGTGTCGTAGCCCCGTAAAAACCGTTAAAAACACCTGGGTTAGCATCTGCCGTAACCATGGTGAAACTCCGAAGTGAAAAGTCCCCCTCCCTGAGAAGTTACCCCAGGTCTTCTAATATTATTTCTAACCTTCTAATTAGAAATAATATTAGAATTAGTAGAGAACGCCTGCCATTCTAATAAATTTCTGCAACCCATATGATATACATCAACCAGCCCAAGCTGACCTACATCTGCCACACGTTCGTCACCTTCCACACACCGTCAGACCACAGGATTGTGACACTGCACCTACTACCGTGCCAGAGTGAGGAGCGGAGCCCAGGTGTCCGCCGAGTCCGCCTTGCCTTCACAGCACACGAGGACCTTTCGTCCAGCATGGACACGTGGATCCGCAGCCAATGCAAGGAGGCACCATCTGCCGAGGACAATCCAGCTGGCCTGATCGCCTGGTGGCCAGGCTTCAAGCGCCGCCTTGCCACCCTGGCCCATCGACTCAACAAGGCACTCACCAACAACCTAACTTGCAAACACCAGCTCTGCAGGAGTGCTTGCGCAATAATGTAACAGTACCGTCCGCCGCGTCAACCAAGTGAGTGCAACACAGCCAAACATGACATCGCTGATACGCACACCTAATGGCCAGCCGCCAAGTGCGTTGCATAAACTTTACCAAGGTATATTGAAACGATAACAATAATTGCAAACAACCAAAGCATGTCCAACGGGTCATCGTATAGACCACATATGTGCTCGTGCGATGCAAAGCAAACTGAATCTAAAATATTACGGAAATATTACGGGGGCCCCATAACCATTTAACCAGCCTCTAAACACATAGGTGATGTCCCCAGTCTAAAACCATGGCGCTGTTACACAAGACATAGAGAATGCGATTGTTACAGTGGACCCCTAACGGGTCGAGTGCAGCGCCCCTAGGAACGCCTCCCGCACGACACTGTGGGCCTTATTCAAAAAGAACTCGGCCAGGCCGTACTAACTTCACTGGACACAAGGCCTCAGTTAGTACGCTTATACAGAAAAAGTGAGGCTCCGACGCGAGCCCTCAGACCTCGTCATTGTATATCGGTAAGCGGCAAACAACCATGTCTGCGTCGTTGACTTATAAAAAAGGGTGGTTGTGAGGTACTTGTTCCCAACGTTTTGGCAAGTAATCCCGTGCCGCAAAAGCAGTTAAACGGGCCCAAAAGTCAGAGATAACATCGTAAGTAATGCGGTTAAGCGTTGACGTTGATACAGCCATGTTGGCATGAAGACCTTCCCTAAACAACAAACGGCAACCGAGATTGAGTGAGCTGATGGCCGCGAGGCATACAATGTCCCACACACACGCACAAACCGAGGTCGGTGGAATGCCCAACCACAAATTAGCCCAGTTAAAAAGGTCTGGAAACTCTAGTCGAATCTGCAGCGCCTCACGAAGAGCCAACGCGACAGTACAGTCCCAGAAATCATGCCGACGATCCCCCACAAACCATGCGCACATCACAGGGACACAAAGCAGCAGGACGCCTCTTTGACGTTGCGCCCAATGAACATAGAGGCGAATGAGAGTTGGGATAGATTGCACGAAAGTGTGGGATTGCCGCAGGGGCCCTATGCCCAAGGCAACAAGGCGACGGCAAAAGATTTCGGGTTGCACCAAGCAGTAATATATACAGGGTTAAGGAGGCATATGTCTTAACTGTCCTTCGGAACTAACACTAAGGCTGGCGAAAGTCAGGCCGTGGCCGTCAAGCCTAAACGTCATTGAGGGGAGCGAATTAATCCGTAGTACTCATATTTGTAATGCAAAGCTTCAGATTCGAATAAGACGTTGTTTTGTTAAGACGGACAAGTATCTTTTGGTCAGCATCAGTAGGTTCTACATTGAGGTTGGCCAGTGAAGTAACGGCTGGAGTGACGAAACTTGTCCAAGTGCTAACGCTCTTCCCGCAAAGTACAGTCCGTAGCAGCGGATCGAGGGCCGACAGGCAAATTGGTCTGCTGAAGTAATGAAGTGTCCTGTGCGGCAATCAGCCCTTTGTGCTGACGTATCTGTTCATGCTTGTCAACAGCGGATGTCTTCCAGTTACCGTTCTGTTCCTGCCCAAGCACGGGATGTTTCATATTCGGCAAGTAAACCTCCCACCCGGAAGAGTACCAGGGGTGAGCGTGATCTTTGTTAGACATAACGAAGCCCTGCTTATCTGCGTAATTTGTGGCTGGCATTTCGGGAGTCGCACTCTGCTTTGCTGGGCATATTGGGACATTTTCAGCTTAGAGCTTTGTCAGCCAGCTATGACCAACTAGCCGTAAAATATAAGTTCCGTTAACTTCGGCCTCTATCGGATGCGTCTTTGGTTGCACGGTGTATTCTCGCTCTGTAGACGGAAGGCTTCTCGGCAGTACGGCCCATGTTATTAACAAGACCTCAGGAGGACTCCATCAAGCGCTGCTGGGGACTGCTGGCCTACCTGTTTCCGTTGTTATGAAGGCGGTGGTAGGTCCGTGTTCAGTTTCTCGATGTCGTCCATTCCCTTA